TCGTATTGATAATTGAGGTGATATTTCAAGGAAATAGCGGCTCCGGTCTAGAAAACCGAAATTAATGGCCGTGGGGATCCGTTGCGCTGACCACACGACACTCTCTATCCGCTAAAGTTGGCATTAACTTAGCCGCAAACGGTGGTCTCTCGGTGGGTATAGTTGCGGACTACAGGCCACGGAGTTTTTGTTTTGTTTTATATAACGATGCTGTCAGTATCGGGAGAGTACGGCAGCGTCGATTGTAGGATGATAACAGAATGTGGAGCGATTTGTGGAATAAAAATTAGCAGGGGAAACCGAGGTACTTTGTGAGAACCCATCCTATTGCCACTTTAAGAACTTTTTTCATTATTTCTGAAATTAAACTGTAATCATTCTTACATTTGATACTGTATTAGAATCTATGAAGTAAATTTCAATCAAACATTTCATTTGTAAATTAATCGAGTTGTGTTTGTTTCGTGCTTCATTTTAATCCATTCACATCCAAGAGACTAATTATTATACATATATATATAAATATAAATACATAATATAAAATTTGTTTTCATTTCAGCGAAAAGTTCGGCCTGTACCACGTTGATTTCAACGATCCGACTCGCCCACGCACTCCAAAAGAGTCGGCCAAAGTAATCGCAGAAATTATAAAAACCAGAAAGATTCCTGAGCGTTTCTGGCAGGATTAGATTTAATCTTTCATCCTTGACATGTTTCGCTCGGAGCGACCATCTTCAGGACTACTATTACAGTGTGATTGGTCACTATCAATACATACTGACACTACTATTACAATGTCAGTATAACACAGCGTGGCCTGAACAACTAAACAACGAAACAAAAGAGTCCTATTATTCAAACAACGGAACCACGACGCGGTAGACACTCAATTTCCTTTAAGGAGAGGCAGTATAAAGGACACGAAACAAATTGGTTCTAGATTTTAACAAAAAGTTTTTTAAACCACACTTGTAAATATACTAATTATAATAATTTATAAATGTTTTTAACAAATTCATGCACATCGCAGTAACTGTTAAAGGATAACAGTGCGACGTGCTGCCTAAAATCCGGGTGATAAGACGTTCATTGCTGGGCAACGGCTGCGATAAGAATGTATATTTCAGTGGAAACGGAATACCAGCAGACCGTTGCATAGAAATCGCCTAAACAACAAATGCGTTACCCCGGAGAATACTACCGGCGGATAGAACATATGAAAAGGAACCCTTGGAAAAAGTATTCCCTAGTCAGTCCGAGTGCACGTTATAAGAGTCCAACGTCGGCCAGAGACGAGTTCAGTTGTATCCGACTGAAGCAGAAGTGTTGTAACGCCCAAAGGACGTTACAGACGGAGAATAACTGTGTGAGTGTAAGTGACTGTGCAATAAATAGATATTCGTTCAAATCCGAGAACTCGCACAATTTCTTGTCGCGTTGCCTAGCAAACACGTGACAATATTGTGTATTTATGACATTATAATAGTAGTTTCCGTATCTACTGATAATGTCCTTCTGAAGATGGTCGCTCCGACCGAAACATGTAAAGGATGAAAGATTGCAAAAACACAACATTTATCAGCCACACCGAACAACGTTAATAATCTTTTATACTACTGCTAGTGTGACGGACCAGGATGAACCAAGCAACATCAAATTTGCAGCTGCTGCAGTGAAATGTACGTGACAAACTAAATACTAAAATAAACCAATTGTTGTGTTGACGACCAAACCTTTTCCCGGTTTATAATCAATTGTTGTGTTGATGGCCCTTAAGCATACCTCTGTAGTTACAAGAATTAACTCCGTGGCCTGTGGTACGCAAGCGAACTATACCGACCGAGCGACCGCCGCTTGTCGGCGAAGTTGGTGCCAACTTTAGCGGATAGTGGTTGTCACGTGGTCAGCGCAAAGGATCCCCAAGGCCGTTAACCTCGGATTTCTAGACCGGAGTAGCTATTTCCTTGAAATAGCTCCTCAGTTATCCTCACGAAGCTGAGTGGACCACGTTCCAGACCCCACTACTTCTCAGAAATCTGGTAGCGCCGGGAATCGAACCCGGGACCTCTGAATCTGTAGCCAGGAACTCTGACCACTAGGCCATAGAGGCGGTCTGCAAGAATTAAATAAGGATTTATTTAAGATATGCACCAATAGGTTTCAGGTACTTTGCGAGTGCGCACTCAGGCGGAAGGACACGATACTTCTCCCGTCAAGTCTACCAGAACCATAAGGCACAAGTTCGCTTCTCGGTTGCGCTGAATAGAAAACATTACATTACATTATATAAGAAACAAGGGGTTTCATTAAGAGCTTTATCTTCTGGGCTATCACGCTGAGTGCCCGTTATTTCTTTCCAATAATGCGATATTATTTTAAGGAAAAAATAAAGGAGATTTTAAAACTATTTTTACTAAAGGTTTTACATATAAGAATTTATCGATTATTTAATTTCTGATATCTCTATTTGAGATTGGAGCACCAGTCAATTAAACGTGTGTTTTTCGCGGGTTATTCTGCATATAACAAATCGAAGCTATTGCTAAGTATCACTGAGGTCAGCAGCATCCTGCCCGTATCTTTCGACCTCAAATGGGAGGTCAGACCACAGGTATTTTCGTTCTCACGGCTACACACCTGAGAGTCTCATGCGCTAAAAGACCACAATATGAATCCAAATAGTTTCCACATATCTGTAATGGCGAATTTTATTATGAACACTAACCTACGTAACACTCGTAAATTTCATATCAGAAGCGTAAGTAATTTATGTTCAGAAATACACTTTTGACGTCGTAAGTCTTCCTCTTCTACAAATTCAAGATTAGTCATGACCCGTCCCAAAACAACAGGAATTATACTGTGCCCATCTACTTCTTGGACGTCCAATGTTCCGTCTTCCACTAGAGTAATAAAAACAAACTTTTCATGGCAAACGTTAATGAGGCATCCTTTGTACTTCATTAAGCAGTTTCCTTTGATATTCTTGTGTGTCTTACACAATTTGTTCTGTTCCTCGTTGCTTTTTCATATCAGTACTCTGTGTCATAGGCAACAAAACGATTTGAAGAGTATTGTCTTCTTCTTCTTCTTCTTCTTCTATTCCTGTTGCTCCCTCTTTGGAGCACAGGGCAGCCACGAAACGCTTCGTTTCACTTCAGTTTCTTAATCTAAGACAAACGATAGGACTCCTTGGATGCAGGATCAGTCCGTGGCAAGGCCGCTAACTAACATAAACGCAGAATAAATACAGATCCATCCATGCCTCGAGTGGGATTCGAAACCACGATTCCAGCGTTCGAGCGGGCAAAAACACTTCAAGCCTTAGACCGCACGGCCACTCCGATCAGCCTTTCGGGATATAATGTCACGTAATCCGATAGAATTTCAACGACGTTTCGGTGGAACATACAGCTTCCATCTTCGGGTTGAAAAATAAGTCATGAAAGTAGTCAGAAACAAGCAACAAGAAGAGTCTTCAACTTATAAACTCGTTACGTTCCCGCTTGCTTCTTATGGGCTACTTTCTTGGCTAATCCTGAAGACAGAAGCAGTCTGTCCTTCCGAAACGTTGAAAACATTTATATCTGAAACTCACACAACATTCTAGACACCTTACTCCAGATATACTACAGACCAACAATGGGAATGATTCGTCGATTATTTTATTTAATGTCGTTTTTCAACTGACCAGGATCGAGAGATCTGTCTAAAAGCTTTTAACGTCTGTGATGTATTAGTGACCTGCCAGGTTCGAATCTCGTCTGTAACGCCGACTGTCTTTATGGATTTTCGTGGTTATATCCATTTCTTCAAGCCAAATGCCGAGATAACATATAAATCAAGACTGTTTCCTTCCAAATCCTTTCCAATTCACTATTCGCTAATCATCTTATCGTTCAGCGCTTCATGGTTAGGTCAGATAGCATGATTAAATATAGCAAAAGTTGAGGGCTATAAAAGAAACACATTGTGTAGTCAGGATACAGAAGGGCAAACAACTACCTGATCATCTTATCGTTCAACGCTTCATGCTTAGGTCAGATAGCATGACTAAATATAGCAAAAGTTGAGGGCTATAAAAGAAACACATTGTGTAGTCAGAACACAGAAGGACAAACAACTACCTAATCCCTATGACAGATAACTTCCCGGAAGTTATCATCGTTATTATCAACCACAACCGACAATACAAAGCAGTGGGTTATGCAAATTTTCTGTTCCATGTCCCCCCTCTAAAAAAAAGACAAACCTGTACTTCCCTGGCGCGACAATTGCTTAATCACAGTGGGTATGTTATGGCGTGCATTACGACTGTGAAGACAGTACCACCAGAGGAGTTCTCGAAAATCACGTGAGTTAGGGATATTTTCTACAAGTATGTGAGAAGTCTGTATAGCGACTTGCTACGGGTTGGACGACCGAGGTGTCAAGAATTCGAGTCCAGGTAGGGTCAGGGATTTTCTCTTCTCCACATCGTCCAGGCCGGCTCTGGGGCCCAACCAGCCTCCTATCCGATGGGTACCGAGGAGTTAATTCCCAGGGTGTAAAGCGGCTGGGGCGTAATTGTAACCACTCACCTCCAACCTCCAACCTCCAACCTCCACCTCCAACCCCAGAGGTGAAGAAAATGTGGATCTATACATCCACTCCCCCATACACCTTCATGGCGTAGTGCTTAATTCGTTGAGCACAGGACGACTTCACCTTACTGGATATTTATTTAACTATTCCTGAGCGTACAAAGCACAAAAAAAATTAAAACCGTTGATTCAGAGAGCATAGGAAAAATCAGAAAAATTCTAACGCCTTTCTATATCTATGGATAAAATATAAAGACAGTGACGTTGTGGAAACTTATCTCTTGCGTTTATACAGTTGTTTCATAGACGAATTATGTCTCCGAATAGACAGTTATAATAAATTAAGCAAAACAATAGATATTTTTGCGTAGCCATCTGCTTACATAGAATTCTGACGTTGAAGTTGAATAATATGGCGCACTAATAACATTCACAACTCCGTATAAAGTGGGATTGTGCGTTTCGGGAAAAGATTTACGTAAATGTGTTATATGGCGCACGTATATAAAAATATCATACCCATTTGCGCGCAATGAATCAAGTAATATAGCGATGTTTTCCTTCGAACATCTGGTTAAGTAAATTGGCAACGAATAACATTTACTCAAACTCAGTGACCCGTACCAGAATGCACATATGATTTTAGGCATAATAACGGCCTTCATACACCTGTAATCAGGCGCATATATATAGGAAGATTTTCCTCTGTTGCTTTTGCACTGACAGAGTAACGAGATGAAGCTCCACATATTCTGCTTCGTCACTCTTCTGGCGGCCGTGTCTGCAGCAAGACGTGACGTCACCTCCGATGACACCGTTTATACATTTCCCGACGAATTCAAATTAGGCGCTGCAACCGCATCATATCAAATTGAAGGGGCATGGGATGAGGACGGTAAGTCCAAAATGTAATATTATCATTCAATATGGTGTAAAGCGAAAAGGGTAAAATTTTGAGGCACTATACTACAAGCCGGAAGGTCGCGGGTACGATTCCCGATGTCACTGGATCTTTTAATTGACTTAAGCTGCACTATGTCCCTGTGGTCGACTCAGCATCTAATAGAAATGATTAGCAGGATTCTTCCTGGGGGTTAAGGGCACGCGGCGCATAAGGCTGACAGCCTCATCGCCATCTGTGAGTCGATTGTCTAGAAAATATGGGAGCCTCGACGCCTCAAAACCATATGGGCCTCCACAGCCTGTCACAGGGATAGCGTAATTAATCTATTCGTTCATTAATGAAAACCTGTGGATGAATGAAAGCATGTAGCTCCACCTTTCTTCGCCTCGGTATGAATGGAAGTGAGTGCTCAGCTTCACGCCTAGGAAGCTTTAACCCCGGTACCAATTTGATTAAAAGCTTGGTGGGCCTTTTCTTATTGCTAGTGGGGTGGGACTCAGACCCTTGTACTGCGGCCACTTGCCTCATCGCGTACCGGCCCCAGATGATAGGTGAGGGTGATTGTGGAGCAGTTGGTGGAATGAAGAATGGCAGGGGAAACCGAAGTACTCGGAGAAAACCTGCCCCAGCGCCACTTTGTCCACCACAAATCCCACTCGACCAGACCCGGGATCGAATCCGGGCCGCCGAGGTGGGAAGCCAGCGACTAACCGCTTGAGCTATGACGCGGCCCCTTTGTGGGCCTTAGAACCGCTATAGACTCTGTAGGGTTGAGAAAAATATTTTTCACTGCCGGGAATTAATCCCCGACCGTTCAGTGAGTAGTTATACCGACAGAAACATCCCGGCTCCACGGTATGGTGTATGGGAACTAGTGTCACCCTCAGTGACACAGACATTTATGTCATCATTCGGATATTAATAGATTATATATGTTTTTTTTTTTAAGTTGTAGTATCCATCTGCAGGTGAGAAGTTCCGACGTACTTACTCAAGTTATAACGTAGCCTGGTTTGTAGGGCGTACGGACACTATCAGCTGAATTTAGTCGGTTAAACCAGAACAGCGTACTCGATACAAGAGCTAAGATTATGGTCTGGATAACTGATTAATCGGTATTAGGACCTAGGCAGCAACAAAACATTTTCCATTCTCCAAAACTTTCAGTTCAGCTTGTGGCCCATTCAACGGGTATCGAAGACTTGTCCAGTGAGGTAAAGCAGCTGGGGCGTGAAGGTGACCACCGAGATTAACAGTTCGTGAAGTCACGCCTCCGGTCCCTGGCCAGTCTTCACAGTGTGGTGCTTAATTACGCCTAAGTACAATTTCACCTTTTTATTTTTAGCGTTTATCTGGTTATTTTTCGCGTATGCCCCAAGGATGAGGCATTAGCCTGTTCCGGCCTCATTTCTGACTCTCCCCTTTTGTCTTCCCATATTTCTTTTTGTTTATATTGTCACTTGCATGGGTGACCATTAGACGGGGTTTGGATTGATTGCACTTATACACTCAACTCGTAACTACAAGCAATACGGCGCTATCGCTGATTTACACACACTTTACAGTTCACCGTTACACACACACTAGGGTTCTCAGTCTTCATTAGTCGTATCCTGGCAACGGATTTCAACACAGTAATATCTGTCTCACTATGAAGTCTTCTTTCCACAACCGTACTCTTGCAACTCAATCATCTTCGACTGCTGTCTCAAGACACTCCCTCAATTATTATTTCAGACAAAGTCACATTGCGACTGACGGTCGGTCAGTCAGTAAGTCTTGGTGTCGAGCCCCATCTGGGGATCATGACCAGATATTTATTGCTGTTTGACAGTTACAGTCTTGTTTTCGTGGGGTGCCCTCTCTGACGAGAGGATGGGTCTGAATTTTGTTAATGCTGCTGGCCCTCGCCAGCGCAGTCTTTTTCGAGTCCGAGACCCTTGGGATTCGTGACCGTATTTTACTGTCTCAGATTTGAGACTTCCCTTTCCGTCGCCTCCTTCGACTCGCAGGGTCACGGTGGAGGTATTCGACCCCGCCTCCACACGGGTGTGTGAACTTCCACTTAACTGGCCTCGGATGTTCGTTGTATAGCCTCTGGGTGGACCCAACAGAAAACACTGTTTCCATTTATAATGCCCTGGCGGCGTAGGGGGGCATGGAGGTATCCCACCCGCTGCCGCCACTGTAATGCCGTGGTGCAGGGGGGCGTGGAGTCAGCCTCCTCTGCCACCACTGTTACGCCGCAAGTAGGGGGCCGTGGAGGTATCCTTCCGTGCCTCCACCGTCACTTGCTCTGTAAGGAGTTAACACAACCATCCTAGCTCACCCTTAGCTAGGATTCTCCTGTTCGGGGTTTCCTTTTTGGTAAAAGCTGCCACCATCTATTTTCTTTCCTTTCAATTGTGGGCACCACTCCCTGGCATATAGTCATAGCTCCTTGACCACTCCTCCCGTAGTTACAGGTAGCGACTTAACACTTTATTATTATATCTTAAGGGGCGTTGGTATCTAGGCTACTTAACTCTGCCGGTGTGGCCGGTGCCTATCCCTGTTTGTCTTTCTTGTCTTCGGCTGCCACTGCTCCTGTGTCAGTTCAACCCTCGCTTTGGTCAGGATTATCGGGATCGGATGTGGGAGGTTGATTGTAGATATGAATCACAATCCCGGTACATCCTATCCTATCTATTCTAGCTGTCTATTTACATTATTATATATATACATAGTTTACATTATTTACATATTACAAAGACTGTCCTTCAGTCTTGACTACATAGAGTCTTTACTACCCGTTCTGCTTCTTTACGTTGTCCCCCTTCAGGGGTGGAGGCCTGGAGCCTCTCTCTCTCTCTCTCTCTCGACGCATCTAACGAAGACATGCAAGCCCTCCTTGTATCCTGAATCTTTTGCCTGTATATTTAAGACTACACATTATATATGATTCCCCTATCCTTCGTAATGTTTCTTCTGACATAATCTACCCTCAGTTATAT